TCCCCAGGGAACCTTCGGATGCCGGACAGAGGACTTGGCGCCACGATCTCATACCAGCAAGTGGCGGGAAGTCCAGGAAGAACAACGACGTCAGCGAGTGCAAACAACGCGTCAAGAGCTGTTACGTCGACATAAGGAACCTCCGAAGAAAGAAATGAACAAGGAATGGACCTTATGGAGGGGTCGACCCCCCCAAAATGAAAAAGAAGCAGGGCACAGAAGAGGAACCGGTAAAATAGAAGAACCGGCCTCCTCAGTGAGAGTGAATGTGCCATGGGAGAAAGCGATGGATGATTGTGATCTTCTGGAAAGCTGAAAAGAAACCGTTCGAGACGAGTTGATCTTAAGAAGGGAGCGGATGTAATGGACAAAGAAGATGCTGCAAGAACAGCCTCCAAAGAAAAGGAACGGGGGAAGCACCGTTAGGCTATTCGGGACGAACAGCCTTAAGCAACAAACACACAAAAAGTAAAACGAAGTACAGTAAAACAAAACAGATGAGTGCAATTGATATCATCTTAGCTTAGATGAATTTTAGGGTGTTAATTTTGTGTAGTGTTAGAATCCTGAAAGTTGTTCAGCAACTTATAATTCATAATTTTCATCTCATGCATCCTGTTGTGTTATACATGGGTAGGCTGAAAAGTAATGCACACATGCTTGTAGAGTGCGAACAAAAACAAATAACAAGATTGGGCAAAAAGTACATTAAAGTACAATTCTTAAGTTTCAAAAGCATATATTTATTTTTCCACATAGTCACCATTAAGACTAACACATTTCTCCCAACGTGTAACAAGTTTTTTCATTCCATCACTGAAAAATTCTTCCTACTTTTCTCGAATCCAGGACTTGACAGCTGCCTTCACCTCATTGTCCGAGGTGTAATGATTACCCTTGAGGTTTCTCTTGAGTAGAGGAAAAAACAAAAATCGCAAGGTGCAAGATCAGGGGAATAAGGAGGGTGCGGAATCGGTTCAAACTTCAGGTTTCGCAGAGCCTCTTCAGTTGCGCATGAGGTGTGTGGACGAGCGTTGTCATGTTGCAAGATTATTGGCGCCAGGCTGCCTCTAACACGACAAACTCGACGCCGGAAGTGTTTTAGAGTCTGTATGTACTGAGAAGAATTTACCGTTGCCCCTCGTTCCAAAAAATCGGTCACATAAACTCGGTGAGCATCCCAAAACACAGTCAAAAAATTTTTTTTGGTGGATGGTTATGTTTTGAACTTTTTCGCCTGAGGAGAAGATGGGTGTCGATATTCAGCGCTCTGTCTTTTCTCTTCCGGGTCGTAACGATGAACCCATGACTGGTCCCCCGTCACAATATTCAAAAGAAAGTCGTCTCTTTCATCACGGTAGCACTGCAAAAGTTGCTCGCAGCATTCCAATCGACACTGTTTGTTCTCGTCTGTGAGACAGCGTGGTACCCATCGTGCACAGATTTTACGGTATCCCAATTGTTCAATAATGAAGCCGACACGTTCCTTGGATATTCCAGTATGGTTTGCGATACACTTTTGAGTGATTCGCCGGTCATTTTGAATCAAATCGTCGATGAGTTTGCGATGATTATCGTCTGTGGCAGTGATCGGACGTCCGCTGCGTGTTTCATCAACAATTATGGCTTTTCCAGGCTCGCAACCACAAGATTTTATTACCCATCGATTTACTGTAGACCTATCAACAGCATTGTCACCATAAACAGCCTTTAAACGACGATGAATCTCAGTAGGAGTCACTTTTTCAGCAGTTAAAAATTCGATAACAGCACGCTGTTTAACTCGCGTTGACATAGCACTAGAACACGTCTCCATACTTCCGCTTCTCGAAATACACTGGATGAACACAACGACCTCAAACCTGCACATGTGTATTGAGGGGGAATGTTACTTCCACATGCCNGTATTCAGTTTTATTAGTCCTGCAGTACAGTGGTTGTATATATGTTGGCCATGTATTTGCCTGATAATGGCTTTTAATAGCCGAAACCTGTAGCAGAGCCAAAACTATGCACTGACCTTGATATAGTTGTTTTGTGACAGTTTCAATAAAGAAGTTGAAATATCAATTAAAGTTCTAAAAATTGGTTCTCATTTATTGTTTCTCCACTAACTTATGTTAGCAATAAAATGCTGTCTTCTGGTATTTTTCCTGATAGGCTAAAATATGCTGAGATTAAGCCTCTGTTTAAGGGTTGTCATAAAAATGATTCTACTAACTATAGACCAATTTCCCTTTTAACTTCCTTTTCAAAAATCTTCAAGAGGATTATATTATCCATACTGAATCATCATGTCTATGACCATAATAATATAGTTAATGAACAGTTTGGTTTTAGACCTCAACCTTCAACTACTAAAGCTTCCTATGTATTAATTACTGAAATATTAGAAGCAAAAAATTGTAGGTGGTATTTTTTGTGACTTAAAAAAGGCTTTTGATAGTGTTAATCATGGGATTTTATTAACCAAACTTCAATTTTATGGAATAGATGGTAAATTTTATGACTTAATTAAATCCTAATTATCTGATAGATATCAGAGAGTTTTAATATTAAGCACCAACCTCTAGTTGGGATATTGTAAGGCATGGTGTCCCACAGGGGTCCATTCTTGGTCCACTTCCTTTTGTCTTTTATATAAATGATCTATCTACAATTTTTAATAACTCAGTCAAATCAGTTTTATTTGTTGATGATACAAGTTTAGTTATTAGTAGTTACAATAATATACAATACAGAAATTATGTTGATATTTCCTTTGCTTATCTTAATGATCAAACTTATTAACTCTAAATTTTAACAAAACTAAACATGTTCAGTTTATGACAAACCAAGTTCTAATAGTGTAACTTCTGTTAATTATAATAATCAATAATGTGATTTTAAGTAGAACAAATGTGAAATTTTTGGGATCAACCATTGAAAGCTCATGTACTTGGAAAGCTCATATATCCCAACTCATGCCTAATTGTGCAAGGCTTGTTAGTGAGGGTAAGCAAGCCCATTATGCCCACAGAGACATTAAAAATGGTATATTACTCTTATTTCCATTCACTTTTGTCCTATGAAATTATTTTTTGGGGCAATTCTTCTTATAGTATGCACATTTTCAGACTTCGAAAGAGAATAATTAGAACCATGAGTGGGTTGAGATCTAGGGACCCTTGTAGAGATGCATTTAGGGATTGGGGAATTTTGCCATTGCAGACCCAGTATATATTTCCTTTATTGATGTTTGTTGCAAATAATATGGGTTTATATTACACAACATCACAAATTCATGGCCTTAATACTAGGCATAATTTTGATTTTTATTGCCCTCAAGCAAATTTGACAACTTACCAGACAGGATCTTATTATTTTGGTATTAAACTTTTTAATCATATTCCTTTAAATATAAAACAGTTAATCCATAATATTAAGCAGTTTAGAGCAGCTTTAAGTTCTTTTTTACATACTAAATCCTATTACACTTTAGATGATTAATTTAATTAGGGATAGTTTCTTGTTTAGCTATGACCCATTATTTGACCTGTTGTCATGTATATGTTCCAATTTTGTATTACCGTATTTACGCATGTATAGGCCACAGCACAATTTTCAGACAGAAATTATAGAAAAAATAATTTCCTTGGAATATTATTTCAGGAATAGAACACCCTGTATTACTAATTATGAATATAATTTTTTTTAAATGAAGTGTGATTTCGAATATTTCAAATATAAACCGCACCCCACTTTTCCTCTTGAATTTTTGGGAAAAAATGTGCGGCCTATACATGCGTAAATACGGTATATTTTATATACACATGGTAGGTTATGTAGTTGCAGTGATATGTAGGATTTCATATGCTCAATTTATTGTTGTGGATTAATATGCATTGTTCTGTTGACTCCTTGCTGATTTAGCAAACTTGTGGTGTGCCAGGTTCTGTATTCAGTGGCTTCGGCCTTGTATGGATATGCTGGAACGTGTAATAAATACAATAAAATATTAGGGGTTGGTTGTGAAGGGATTAAGTACTTTACTACAGGCTATTAAATGACGACTTTTTTCCAGGGATTATGTGTGTTTTGTAGCAAAGTGTATAGGATCCTAATGAAAAAATTATGATGCAAAACTGTCTTCACATGCTTTGATGTCCTATTCTGCGCGCCGTATGAGGTATAATTGTTTAACATGTGAGGCAGCATAGTCTGATAGATATGTTTCTGTGTTTTGGAAGAGCCTGCTGCCTCATGAAATGAGGATCTACAGCACTCAGACAGTAACCAATTTATCACTCCTGTGTTAGAATATAATTTTATACTTCTTTGAAAGTTTCACTGCAGTGCATTTGTGAGTTAACAATGTGCACATGGAATAAAGGCATATATTGAATATATGCCATGCCGTTACCTTGGGTTATTATACTATAAAAATTGGAATATCATTTCAGTAGTACAGTTATACATCTAATAAACTATAGAAAGGAAATAACCATTTGAATCATGATTTTTATTGTACTGAAATTACATGTAGGATGACAAGTTGCAGTTGTTCCAAGCACGTAGGACATTACTGGATCCACTGTGAATTGTCGCACACCAGGGATTACGAGAAGCAGCTTGTGTACCCATTATGACTGTTAACAAATGAAATTCACAGCCACCACTTCAGTATGCTATATGTTATGCATTATATTTTATTGTAATTAGCTCAGTTATCAGTTGATTCAATTTGCTAATAAAATTATATCAGTTTTAAGATATGTAATATTTTAGGTCTTTTGCTGGACAAATTTAGAAAAAGCTTTGAAACAAACTTAAACAGGAAATGAAACACATTACTTACCATGGCTTCTGTTCTTAAGAAAACAATGAAAATGATTGAAACTGAGCTAATTACATGAGATGCAGATTTAACATATAGTATACAAAATACTAATTTTGTATGTTTACAGAATTCCAAAATTAGTGCTTGCATTTCCAGAGGACAGGAACAACAGACATAAATATTAAAATGAGAACAATAAGAATACTTTATTTAAGGATGGGCACTACATTAATGTGATCAATGTTTTCTTAAACTTCAAGTCAACTACTGATATGATTCTGCATACAATAATACTGATAACTGTGTGAAGAAGGCAACAGTTGTTTCCATTTTAATAAATATAATAATCAATCTAAGATTCCTTGGCACTTATCAGTTTATTCAGTAGAGTTCAGTACTACCAATTCCAGACTCTGATATAGCTACTGCAGCAAACTGGACAGAATATTCTTTTTCAAACTACGTATTATGGGGTGATACTTATTTGAATGTCAAGTTATTTCACATTTTGTCACAGGTTTTGATAGTCTGAAGATATTTGAGTTGACACAGCTCATTGGTATTACATTCCACATCATTCTTCCACAACACTGATCAGCTTAATGGTCTAATTTCGATTAGTTTCACTTTTTCATCTCGCTCCTTCCTGTGGTCCCTCAGGTAATAAGTGGATTTCTAATGAAATAATCAAGCGATACAAATTTTTATTTTGTTAGCTGAATAGTCTCAAATGGATTTCCTGTTTCACTCTGAAAAAGAAATATTTTTAATAAAGTTAATTTACACAACATAATGACAAATATGCAAAGACTTGTTAGAAATTATCTCCGAAAAAGGTAAAATTTCAACATATTTTACCTTGATAAAACCCCTTTAACTAATATGTATTAACTGGTCACATATCCTACCTTGCCTGTCATAGCCTTGATACGGTTCAAAATTCCAGCAGTAAGGGGCTGGCTGAATTGAATTTCCTCCTCCTCACCATCATCAAGAGCACAACTTTCAGCTGGAGCAAGTTCTGCCTCCCCTTCACCATCACGACCTCCAGCTGACTGCACCAGTTTCATGTATTTATACTCTAGATGTTGTGTTTTCTTCCAGAAATAAAGCATGAGACCACACAAAAAGAGGGCGAGTGCCACCGTCACAGCAATCACTATCTGTTGGCAAGTGAGGTAATGTATTCTTGTATTTAAACATACAGGTTTACAGGTATTCATGTCAGTGAGCATTCAGATTGTGGTGTTCTGGGTTGTAACACCATGAAGAACTGTGAGGCATGGAGACCACTCCATGAGGGAAAGAATAAAAACACGAACCAATTCTTTATGAGCAGGCAGTGGAAGCTGAGTACCCATTCCCTGAAAGAAGAGGAGACAAAATTTCTCTCCAAGGAGAAAATTGTCACTTCCCCTTGAGATGACACTGTTCCACTTGGGCCTTCAGAAAAAGGACTGCCTTCTCAATTTCTATCTGCAGTGGCCCTGATGATAACCATTTTCGCATATTCCATGCCTCCCATGTCCCTAATAAAGGTTTTATTTTTTTTTCACACTTCATGTTCAGCATTCCTATTTGTCTGGATTTGTCTCCTTATCTTTCCTCCATTCTTACAGATCTGAGTGACCATCTTGCTTGCAACCTGCCTACATAACCAGTCAATTTTTGGATCACTGCTATATCAAAAGCAATGATTATATTGCCTTTGTGGAGCATAAATGATTACATGTCCTCAACATCTTGGACAAGCAACTTCAACCGTTCATCCAATAATTACCAGACACCAAGTCAGTGATCAGTTTGGTTTGTGTTGCCTTAGATATCGTCATCTGCTGCCCAAGCAACACTGGAACAGACTTGCATGGAAAAGGTGTCACATTTATTGAGCACCATAAGAAAGTGGGGAACTTCCATGGAAAAGTCAGTTGAGACTGGTGCCTGTGAGGCAAGACTCTCCATGATCATTTTGCAGATTAGACAATTTCTGTGTAGATTTTTAAATATCTTCTTATGCCACATAAATTGTACATAAATTATGAATTTATTAAACTACTTATGTCACACTAAAAGCAAACAATTTAGAAATTTACTAAACTACATATTACATACCGAAGGGTCAAATGGTGGGGCCCAGCCCCTGGCTTAGTGCATCCTAACTTTTGACTCTGAAGTTGGAGTCAGCATTTTCCTACAGTACTTTGGAACTCTTACAATATTGCATGGTGTCACAAGCCAGAAGACTGTACTCTGAATATACACTGCCATGATAATTTGACAGCTTATAACAGTAACCTCTATGGGCAAGCAACATTACATAGGATTTATCTCTTGGAAACGCACTATGTAAAGAAAGCAAAGCTACTTTCTACTGAGGTACAGGGACTGCAGTACCCTTCCTCAGTTCGTGATGTTCCAACATAATTCGATCAAAGGCTGTCAGGAGAATGTACTGACAAACAAGGTTCCCTCTGCTCCAGTAGTAGGCACACCTCCTGACATGGGTTGGAAGAAATTTCCCAGGAACTCTTGAAGGCACATATGCAACTGTCAACATATGTGTCCAGCATAAAGTGATCCCATGTTGATAGTATCACTCATAAAAAGCTCTATTATATTTCTTCATATGACAAGACAAAACACTGCAACAATTTTCAGAGTCCTCAGATGGCCCCAAATCATTCTTACCATCCTCCAACAACAGGTCTGTGATTAACTTAAGTAACTCACTTCTGGATTATACTGTTCTCCAGGGTCTAAACTATTTTTTGTGCCTTTTCCAGGAGCTGGTGATTGAGTACATGATGACTGGAATGGAGAAGGCCACCAGTGCATTGCCAGGTGAAGCTGCATGGGACATCTGACAAGAAACTGTAATAATCAGCTAAAATACTGACAGTTTAACGCAAGCAGAGGAACAGGCACTACACGCACTATGGAGTGATGCGTCTCAGTATCCTCCCAGCAGACAATGGCAATGCTATTGTCATTCTTAATACTGCGAACTGCAAACAGTATGTAATTGATCTTCTGGGGAATTCAGTGTACAAGATGCTGGCTGCAGACTCCACACAGTCCGTAGAGTTAGAACTGATTTTATCACTGATATGTCCTTACTACTGTAAGGGGTTATTCAACAACTGAGATGACACAGTTAGGCACCTCAAAATATACATAAGGCCCATCAATAGCACAGTTGGAGCTTCGCCCTAAGGCCTCATGATACTTCTAGTGAGCCTAATTAGACAACATCCAGGTAACTTCATTAGCACGTGAAGAAATCATAAGACTTTGCCTGCAGTCTGGCCACACTCTGGATTACACCTGAGGGCATTCTTGGCAGCTTTGTTGTTGTCTCCCAATATACAGAAATCCTGACTGGAGATACATTTGAGCTTCTCAGTCAGCAAATCCATAAACATAAAGTCAGGCCTTCCACCACTACTGACACCCTTATATTTCTCTTTCAACTGTCATTTCTAAAAACAGAGGGATAGAGTTGTCACAGGTTGTCCACTGTCACTTTTGATAAACAGTTTCTCCAAGGAGGGGGGCCTCAGTGCTGAATCCATTACACTGATGATATCATCATGATTTTGACCCATGGACTAGAATGGCTGAAGGACTCTCTAAACAGTATTCTCTATAACATCCAGGTCACTGTGGAGACTGAGATAAATGGCCACCTTTCCCTGGATATCAATATCTACAGAAGCCCATACAGTATATGGAAAGTTGACCTACACTGATCTATATTAGAATGCTAAGAGTCATCACCATCTGGCAAACAAGCAGGCAGTGCTGTCCACCCTGGTACACAGAGCCAGAGCCTTCTGTGATCAAGGGAGTCTTCATGTTGAACTGGTCCATCCACATTTATTGTGCTTCCAATCCATCTCAACAACTGGTAAGGACATCTAGAAAGGATTCCATGTTAGTGGCCCTCCCCTGTTCTTGCAACCAGTGCACATAACGCGACCGCATCCACATCCCACATATTTCGACCTTGAAGATGGCTACATCATGTTTGCAATGTCACAATCCAGAAGACCATTTTTCTGACAGGGAGGGTCTAACTAGACATTACAGTAACCAGAAGGGTTCAGATTTCTTAAGCATTTTCTAGTATTATGAGATCTTATATGCTAATTGTTACACATAACTTGTACTTTTTGCCAAGTATAATTAGAATGAACAAGTCAAGGAGGATGAGATTGCTAGGGCATGTAACACAAATGAGGCAAAGAGGAATGCATATAGGATATTGGTGAGAAAGCCAGAGGAAAAAGACCACCAGGAAGACCAAGATGTACGTGGGTGGATAATATTAAACTGGTTCTTAGAAAGACCGGATTGAGTGGTAAGGACTGGATTGATCTGGCTCAGGATAGGGTCCAGTGGAGGGCTCTTGTGAACATAGTACTGAACCTTCAGGTTCCATAAAATGCTGAGAAGTTCTTGAATAACTGCACAACTGGCAGCCTCCCAAGAAGGGCTCAGCTCCATGAAGTGAGTTGTGATTGAGCATTGCATGTGTACCTGCAATTCCAAGGGAATATGTGTTGTACACCGGACACTTTTTGTAAGTGGCACTGTTGATGGCATAATGCAGTTAGTTGGAGGAAGATAATGAACTGTCTGTGTCCCATACACACATTCTCCTTTCACCACCCTATAATACAGAAGTGCAAAATAGTTACAATTATTTGTCAGCATAGAACTACTATAATGCTGATTAGAAAGCTGATAAGTGACTTTGTACACACAGTACAGTTAATGAAAAATTATGGTAATCTTTATATTGTGGCGTGTTTACTCCACGCAAGAACTGCTCAGCCACAGGAACAGCTGTTGCTAAGTAACACATGCACAAAACAATAGAACAATGGGGTTACGCAATCTGTTTCTAGGCAACAGCTCAGTAAACACATTTCCGCTTATCGGACTATGCTATGCAATGCAGTGATGTCATCAACAATACTGACTGTGTTTTCCATGGGGGGTCTGCAGAGTGCTTATAAGAGAAGTGACCTAGCGACCGCGATATCCCTCGGTGACGTCACCGCGGAGGGGAGTGGAGGGGCGGGAACTCGCCTATTACCGTAAGAACGCGAGCGTTATGTTACCGCCACGTACCGCTGGGGAGGTAGGGGTCAACATGTCACACTGCTCTCTCCTTAAGGCTGTTCGTCCCGAATAGCCTAACGGTGCATCCCCGTTCCTTTTCCTCGGTGGCTGTTCTTGCAGCGACTATTCTTCGTCCGTTACATCCGCTCCCCTCTTAAGACAAAGCTCGTCTCGAGCGGTTTCCTTTCAGCTCGCCGGAAGATCCAGTTGTGTCCCATTCATCCATCACTTTCATTCTATGGCACATTCACTCTCAGTGGGGAGGCCGGTTCTTCTACATTACCGGCTCCTCTTCTGTGCCCTGCTTCTTTTTCCGTTTTGGAGGGGGTCATCCCCTCCATAAGGTCCAGATTTTGTTTTGTCGTAATCCGACAGAATATCTGGCTATTTGCTTCGCAATTCTCCTGCCGAATATCTCGTAGGAAGTAGTCTCCCGAGTACTTCTCCCTCCTGATCTACACCCTCCGATGGCGTTCTTGGTTGGGTCCTTCAATTGGTTGCTGACTCGTAGTCGCCGTTTCAGACCTCTGTCCTTTATGCCAGTGTTGCATTGAGGGTACTTCCCACATTTACCCTCCTTTGTAATCTTCGTTCCGGTGGCGGTCACTTCTTTCCGCTGGCATCCGAAGGTTCCCTGGGGAGTTTCCTTCTTGAAGGCAATTCTCCAACGTCGTGCCACTGTCGCGCGACAGGATGTCTTCCAGCAGATGGCAGCCAACTTCATCCGGGATTCATAGTCTCCTCGGGTCCAAGTTTTCCTGACGATGTTCCTTCGACGCCATGTCACTCTTGCAGAGCGGGACACCTTCCTGCTGACGACGGCCAGTTTGTTCTGGGGTCCGCAATTTTCCCGTGTCGAATTCTTCATTTCGTTGATTTCGGTCCCTGCGCCTGTTCTTCTTCGGTTCTCTGACCGGCATTACTTCGGCGTCTTGTACGGGTACCTCTAGTAGTTCCGCCACCTCAGGTTTCCTGTTCGCTGAAGTCGGCTCTTCTTCTTCTTCTGGACGTGCCTCCATTCCTTGGCAGGCCGTCGTCACTCCGACCGGTATTGCAATGGGGACCTCTTCTTGTTGTGCCGCCGCAGGTTTCGCGTCCACTGGGCAGGCCACCATCTCTTTTGGGCGACTTTCATACAAAAGAAATATCTGGTCATGAGCCCCAGCTTGGGCTCGACACCAAGACAGACAGACTGACTGACCGTCAGTGGTAACGTGACTCTTACTCTGACTGAAGCCAGGAGCAGTTGAGACTACAAGGATGAGAATGGAGCATGTCCTTAGTGAATTATAAAGATTAGTTAAGTACAGATTAGGAAGAGGAGTACAAAGTGATTGAAGACAAGAAGACTTCATACTGATTTTAAGTGATAGTTTCTGTGTTGAGATCTGTTGCTAGAAGATGACCAGTGGAAACTGAGAATCCCGGTGCATGCAGCAGTGAACTGGAAAGTGAGCAAATCAGCGATAGCGCTATAGCGCTGTATTGATTGTAATTAAGAGAGACTGTAATTGAAGTGCCAAAAAATTCAATTATCCGATCTAGAACCCATTATTTTCGTCACGCACACCCTCCTACATGTGATAAAAATACTTATGGTTGCAATGTACAAAATATTTAACAGAATATGGTAAGAAAAAGGTTCAGAAATTGTACATGTTATGCAGATCTAAATGTTTATATTACCTGATAACTTAGGCACTTCATTCTGCAATAAAATCTAACCATTCCTGTTCCCAATAGGAATGCTAATGGATTCTTGCACCAAACCAGAACTCTGCTACTGCAAGATACGATTTCATTTACATAATATAGCTACTAATTTTACCTTTTCAAATATCAAGAAAACATTTCAAACACAGCACAATTTATCAGACATCTGGTATGCAGATATAAACATGATACCGTTGAATATTTTCACTGAGCAAGTTAGTGTAGTTGTAACACAAATTTATATTCAGGAGGTGCTCGGTTAAAATCTCAGCCAGGACACTGCCTACTGACAGAGGTGTCCTGTAGTTTTCTCAGTCCCAAAAGGCAAATGTCTAGATAATACTTCAATTAGGCTGTGATTGCTTTCTTTGAAATTGTTTCCAATTAATCAGTTACCCTTCCAGACTTTGCGATACAGTCCGAGATGTTGACAGCTTTGCAAAATGAGCAATAAAGAAATGAAAATTTGTTGTTGAAACTGGATACTGAACGAGAGGATACACTGGAAGAAACAGAAAAAAAATTGAGAAGATAGCCTTGTTTTTAACCTCCCAGTAGTTACACTTACTGCTGTACATGACACTCATGGTAAAGCCAAGAGATTTCTCTCTACTCCACAGCGTCCATATCAGCACTGCCGCCCATCCAACCACCTATCCAATGGATACTAATGGCTATTTTACTGGAGTTAAAGCGGCCTGGAGGTGAAGCTGACTACTCACCTCTATCTAGTGCTACTGGAAACATACCTGCACTCCCCATAAACTTTCATGGCATTGTGCTTAATCAGTTAAGCACAGGGACAAGTTTACCTTTATCTTTTAATGAATATGGCTAGTTTCAATGGGACTGTGACATCAAGAAGAGGAATAACAAGTATTTATGTACCATACTTCCTGGTCTTCATAGTAATTAATTTCTTATGGTTTAATGATACTGTCACGTTTATCAGTGACAAAAGAAGGTATTGGCTTGCTATACTGCTCCTGCTTACTCCTTGCTTGCTGTACTCCTCCAGCATACTGCTTGCTTGCTGTACTCCTCCAGCTCATTGCTTGCGTGCTGTGCTCCTCCAGCTCATTGCTTGCTTGCTGTACTCCTCCAGCATACTGCTTGCTTGCTGTACTCCTCCAGCTCATTGCTTGCTTGCTGTACTCCTCCAGCTTACTGCTTGCTTGCTTGCTGTACTCCTCCAGCATACTGCTTGCTTGCTGTACTCCTCCAGCTTACTGCTTGCTTGCTGTACTCCTCCAGCATACTGCTTGCTTGCTGTACTCCTCCAGCTCATTGCTTGCTTGCTGTACTCCTCCAGCTTACTGCTTGCTTGCTTGCTGTACTCCTCCAGCTTACTGCTTGCTTGCTTGCTGTACTCCTCCAGCATACTGCTTGCTTGCTGTACTCCTCCAGCTTACTGCTACAATTCACTCGGAACCACTCAGAACCCTCCTGGAGTCTTACTTATGTGGAATGAACATGCGTCACAAGAAACACATTCATATGATCGCTACCTACTGTTGTGTGACATCACCATTGACACGGAAAACACACAGCTTCCTCTATTGCTTCGTGCTGGACCATGTTTACAGAGCTGTTGCCTGGGAGCATGTTGATCAGATCCGTTAGAATATGATGTTGCATGGTAGGATGATAGGACAGTAAATTTTAAAAATATGGTAGAAAGCAGAAGGGGGTCATATCCTAATTTTAGGTACTATACTGATATTTCCTGGAGGGACTGAGGAAAAGCACGACGAATATTGATGAGGACAGCAGGTGTCTTGACCAAGGTAACAGCACTTGAATATAATTCAGAAACATTACTGCTTGAATGAACTTTGTCATTGAATTGTGAATAAATACTGAACAGATTGTAATTATTGCTTTAAATTTTTAGAAAGAACAACAATGCACAACACACCAAGAATTTTAATTTACTGAAAATATATTTATGTATGTGCTATGAAAACTGCGTGTTTGTTTCCTGTCTGCAGTAACACTAATGCTGAAATGCTGAAATGTGACCCTTTTTAATCCTAAGGGCCCCTACAGGCACTATTCCTGCTGTTCATATTCATATTTTTATTGGTTCCAGAAATCCACATTTTGCAATACAGCCTCCGGTTATAGAACAAGTCAAATTACTTGTATAAAAGTCAACAATACTATAATATTTAACTACATACACAAATTGTGTACATGTCCAACATACCATATAAAACTATATTAAAAATTTAAGACAACATAAATTCCCCAACAGGGTAACCAATTAAATCCATTTCACTTCAGTCAATCAATCAATCAACCAATCCATTCTTCCTTCCTCGTCAAATCACTGTCATAGGAAAACGTTCCATACACATTAAATATACAATAGTTAAATTTCTATAATTAAAAATAAATACCCCCCTTTCACAAATATACCATCCTTAATTTAACATATATTCCTCTACAGAATAAAACGTATGTTATACCAAATATGACTTCATTACTTTTTTAAACTGTCTCATTTTTTCTATCTCCCTAATTTTATTTGGTATTTTATTGTATAATTTTATTCCCATATTCAGTACTCCTTTCTTATAGGCATTTGTTCTGCAAAACTTCTGGCATGTATTGTGATTACTGATTATGAACTACATTATTTTGTTCTAACTTCTCTAAATGTAGTTTAACATGGCATACTATTCCAAATATATACATACAAGGTAGTGGAAGTAAGTTTAAATCCTTAAAAAGTTGTCTACATGATGTTAATCTACTCACACCACTAATTATTCCAACAATTCTTTTCTGCAATTAAAATATAATTTTACTTTTTGGGTCACTACCCCATAAAATTAAACCATACTTCAAATAAGCATGGAAGTGAGCAAAGTAAATACTCCTTATAACATGTCGGCTTGTTACATCCCTAAGGGATTTTATCATGTAACAGACTTTATGAAGTTTAGAGCTTTCCACTCCATATGCTCACCAACATGTATACCTAGAAATTTCGTTTCATCTCCATTTTGCCAAATTTGATTTGAGCTTTCATCAAATCTCTTTCTTGTCTATTATGAAATGCCATTGCTATTGTTTTCTCAGTATTTAATATAAGGTTATTTGCACTGAACCATCCATATAACTCATTCATTACTTTATTTATCTTTTGTTGCAGGATATGTCCCTTTTCAGCTGTTACCAAAATATTTATATCATCTGCAAACAAAACTATCCTCGCCTCTTTGATATTCAAAGGCAGATCATTTATGTATAATAAAAATAATAATGGTCCAAGCACTGAACCCTGTGGTACTCCATATTTAATTTCTCTTGGAGCCGATGTATATTTTTTGCCATCACAACTTATTTCAACAAATTGCTTCCGGTAAGCCAAATATGATTTAAACCATAAGTTTGCCACACCTCTAACTCCATATGTTTGTAATTTAGATAGTAAGGTGTCATGATTTATGGCATCATACGCTTTAGTTAAATCACAAAAAATTCCGACCTGTTTTTCTTTTTTCTCAGCTGATTCCTGTATGTTTGCTAGAAAGGAGTAAATTGCAGTCTCGGTCATCCTAAATCCATGTTGGGGCCTCTGTTAATATGGCATTTCTTGTCAAAAAGGAGAGTAACCTATTATGCATCAACTTTTCCAAGATTTTCGAGAAAGCACACAAACGGGATATTGGTCTATAATTTTTCATATCCTTCTTGTCTCCATTTTTATGAAGTGATCTTACCTTTGCTATCTTAAATCTCTCTGGGAAAATACCTGCTTCTAGAGAGGCATTATAAATGCGGGCTAATGGCGTTTTAACCGCTTCTATACATTTTTTAACCACATAATCCGGTATTTCACCAGTACCTGCTGAAAATTTCCCCCTAAATTTCTTCACCACAATTGTTCCTTTTTTCACTCCTTAATAAGGTATGGTATCATCTTTTGGGGAAACTCATCTCATAGTTTTACTATTTTTCTTCTCAAAAAAATAAAGGCTATCAGAGCGATGTTGGAATATGGCAATGGAGTTTTGTGTAGAAACATATTTAAATTTATTTATCGTTATCATTAAATTCATTTATCACTTTCATCACAGTATATATTTTTGTTGTTAGTATTTGTATTGCAGGAAGGAGTCTATTATTGTACCAGTTCACAAGGTTGATAAAACTGACTGTAGTAATTATCGGGGGATATCACTGCTATCGACTTCACACAAAATTTTATCCAATATTCTTCTCTCAAGGTTAAGTGCATATATAAATGAAATTATTGGAGATCATCAGTGTGGGTTTTGATGTAACAGATCAACTACTGATCAGATCATTTGCATACATCAGATATTGGAGAAAAAATGTGAGTACGATGAGACAGTACATCAGCTATTCATAGACTTCAAGAAAGCCTATGATTCAGTTAGGAGGGAAGTATTGTACAGTATTTTGATAGAGTTTGGGATACCCATGAAACTAGTTAAGCTGATTAAAATGTGTTTAAATGAATCTTATAGTAAGGTCCATACAGGTAAATATTTGTCTGATAAATTTCCTATCCAGAATGGTCTAAGACAAGGAGATGCTTTACTGCCACTCCTTTTCAACTTTGCTTTAGAATATGCCATTAGGAAGGTCCAGGAAAACCAGGTGGGACTGAAGGGAAATGGGCCATATCAGCTGTTGGTCTATGCCGATGATGTGAATCTACTGGGTGATAATACAGATACCATATACAGGGTGGTTCACAAAGTTTTACACTAGCTTATGGTACATATTCCTGGGGTTATTTCCTACAAAATTTCCTTATAAACTTGTGGTCGATTTTCAATAGTTACGGAGTAACAATAGATTTTCGAAACACATCATTGTGAATGCAGCGCTATGCTTCCCTCCTGGGCGACCTTGCATTCCAGTCAGCTGTGTCAGCAGATAAGGCAGACCGGCTAGCAATCCTAGGCAGAGCGATCAAGTAGTAAACAGGACGTTGTGTTTGTGACTTTGTGAAGTTAAGATGCTGTACACATTTTCCACTGAGGAATACGTCGATGTGGTGTTTGTTTTGGGTGTATGTGATGGAAATGCGAGAGCTGCTGCTGCCGAATATCACCAGCATTATCCTAATCGCAGGATTCCTAATCATAAATCCATTAGCAGTACATTCAACACATTAAGACAAACTGGTTCTCTCCCCAGCGTTCATATACAATATGAACAAAATCCTTGACACGAATTGTGCAAAGAAGAAAACATTCTCGATATTGTAGAGTGCAGTCCGCGTGCCAGTACAAGACATCTAGCTTGGCAGTTCGGTGTTTCTCAGTCCCTGGCGTGGATGACTCTATGAGAACAGCTGCATCCTTATCATTTACAGCAAGTACAACACCTACAAGCAGGAGACCATGCTCTTTATCTGCAGTTCTGCAACTGGTTAAATGGAAATCAGCAGTCGTACTGCTTGATAATGTTCTGCGATGAGGCACAGTTTACATGGGATGGGGTCACAAATTACATGTTATGGCAGACAATAATCCCCGTGCCACGACAGAATCGAATTTTCAACACCGATTCAGTGTCAATATCTGGTGTGGTGTTCTGTATGATCAGCTAATCGGGCTGTTCATTTTTCCTGGCCACTTAACTGGTGAGATTTACTCATACCTCCACTTCTTAGAAGAAGAATTGCCACAGTTATTTGAAGATGTTCCTCTGGCAACAAGAAGCTGGATGTACGTTCAGCATGATGGGGCACCTCCTCACTTCTCCTGTGAAGTAGCAGCTCACTTGGATCAGCATTTCCCACAGCGGTGGATTGGTTGTGGAGCCCGTAACGCGTAGCCTCCCAGGTTGCCAGATCTAACGCCATTAGATTATTGCATTTGGGGCTGGATGAAGGATACTGTGTACCAGGTAAAGGTACAAACACGTGAAGCGTTGCTTGAACGTATTCTGGACACGGCAATGACACTAAGGAACAAACGTGTGGAACTGCGAAATTCTACGAGCGCGGTTCATACGCATGCGACGCGTTGTGTTGACATGCAGGGAGACATTTTTGAAAATCTTATGTAAATCCAGTTGTCATCTAAAGCACTACAGTTTAAAGGAAACAGATTGATAGAAGGGTGTGATATGCAACCATTGGTATGTTTACAGAATGGGATGCTGAAAATAATGTTATTTTGTAACATAAAATCGAAAAATGTTCTGCAATGCAAAATTAAGAAATTGAAATAAAAAAAATGGTTTTTGAATGCTTCTTTCCTAAAACATTAATGATTTAAAAAGTGTTTGTATTGTATTTCTAATTTGTTTTGACTGAAATTCGAAGAAGAAAAGATTTTTCGCCAGTTTTCAAATTACTGTATTCCTTTAATTATGATCTGCATACCATTAGTATATTGAACTTTTTTGTTCCAAATTACCTCAGGAATGCCCTCCCTAATTAGGGGTAAAACTTAGTGAATCACCCTGTAGAAAAACACATTAATTGAAGCAAAAAAGGAGGTTGGTCTAGAAGTAAACAGAGAAAACTAAGTATATGTTGCTGTCTCGTCACCAAAATACAGGGCAAAACCATGATATGAAGATAGCTAACAGAGGTTTTGAAAATGTGGCACAGTTCAGATATTTTGGAACAACGATAACAAATCAAAACCTGATTCAAGAGGAAATTAAGAGGAGAGTGAACTTGGGTAATGCTTGCTACCATTCAGTCCAGAACCTTTTGTCTTCTCGTTTGCTGTCCAAAAACGTAAAAATTAGAATATAAAAAACTATAATTTTGCCTGTGGTTCTGTATGGGTGTGAAACTTGGTCTCTAACATTAAGGGAGGAACACAGACTGAGGGTATGTGAGAACAGGGTGTTGAGAATATTTGGACTGAAGAGGGATGAAGTGACAGGAGGGTGGAGAAAACTGAATAACTAGGAGCTTCATAACTTGTACTTCTCCAAGTATAATTAGAATGATCAAGTTAAGGAGGATGAGGTGGGCAGGGCATGTAGCACGAATGGAGGAGAAAAGGAATGCATATAGGATATTGGTGGGAAAGCCAGAAGGAAAGAGACCACTGGGAAGACCAAGGTGTAGGTGAGTGGACAATATTAAAATGGATCTTAGAGAGATAGGATGGAATGGTATGGATTGGATTGATCTGGCTCAGGATGGGGACCAGTGGAGGGCTCCTGTGAACACAGTAATGAACCTTCGGGTTCCATAAAATGCTGGGAAATTCTTGAGATTTGGCTTCTCCTCAAGAAGGGCTCAGCTCCATAAATAAGTATTTGTATTGCAAAATAAAGTTCTTTTTTCATCAAACATTGATTCTCATACTACTGATACTAGACAAAGACAAGATTTATATCTACCTCAAGCTAATTTAACTATTTATCAAAAAGGAGTTTATTATTCGGGTTTAAAAATATTCAATAAATTGCCCATACAGATCAAGAACACATCTAATAATTTTAAAAAGTTTAAGGTTGTATTAAGCCATTTCTTGAACACTCATACCTGTATGTTTTATACTGTAGATGAATATCTAAATAGATAAGTTTTATTATTATTGTATTCATTCGACTGTCTAGTTATGTAATATTTATGTATGCATTCTATGCTCTATATTATTTTATGACATGTTCTATATCCATCTTTGGATATCTTACTTACAATAAATACAAATACAAATATTGGTAAATATCATATCCTAACAGTGAATATTTACATGTGAATTTATGTTTGCTTATCATAAGGGAAAAGTTCATCATAGTCTTAATTACTTCTTTTATAATTCGTTCTCATAATTAAACCTATTATGTGAACGGTGTATGCTTTTATACTCTTGTTTATTTTCATCTGTACCTCTAGGTAAATACTCCCCAAATTTACATCATTGAAAGCCATTACTTATATCTTCCTGTGAATGTATGTAATTCAAAAGAAATTTTATCAAATACTGACCGGTAATTATTTTCTGTGCATATAGGGCAGGCTGATGCACTGGCCCACAAGAAGTTAAAATTACAACCATCACATGTTCCATCAGGACATTTTGCAGGAAGTTTGATTCTACCCTCGCCTTTTTGGTCTGGATCACAGTGCAATGTAATTACAGTTGTTCGGCCTTGAGGGCACGAACGTGTCGAGCTGAAATCAGGGAAAAAATTACATTTACAATTACTGAACATCCATTATACTACACAGGTAACATTTTGTATTACTGTACTCAAATTAAGGATTGTCAATGTGTAACTGTCTGCAGACCTACTTTCAGTAAGGAAAGAGAATTAAAATATATTTAAAACTATGCAGTGAATTTCACATCAGATCTTCATGGTATGCATCCTGTTGTGTGTCATATGTACTGGGAGAAATCTATGGAACAAAATTTCTGAAAAAAAAAAACAAAATAGATTCTACTGTATCAACATCTGTTTATTGGCTGCTGACACCAAGAAACAAATGTTCATACAGTAGTGTCTGTTTTCTTTTTTCAGAAATATTGTTGTGTAGACTTCCCACTTATACACAGGATGTAAATAAATTATATGTTACAGTGCCCTGTGGTAGATACACAGGTTCAATCTGATCATATCTTGTTACTATACCCATGTCCAGAAACGCTTTGTTTATGTGCTAGGGCCCCTGAAATGTGAAGGAGGTCGCCCTTATCTCTTACCTCTGTGGCTTACTGGTGATATTTGCTTAACATTTCTCCAAGAGATCTTAACCAAGCTGCTGGAAGTGGTGCCTTTGAAAGCCCATCGTGAAATGTGATTCCAGCATGATGGCCCCCCAGCACACTGCACTAACGTTGTCCATGAGTATTTGGATGAAAGTTTTGGCAACAGATGGACTGGACATGGGGGCCTAATTAACCTGGCCCCCTCGCTCTCCTGACTTGACTCCATTGGATTTCTTTCTCTGGGGGTACATGCAAAGCCTGGTGTATGAGACTCCAGCGGAGACACAACATGATCTTGTGGCAAGAATTGCAGCAGCAGCTGGAACCATCCGGGAAATGCCGGGAATCTTTCAAAGAGTGCAGCATAACTTAGCCAGGCAGTGCAGAACATGCAATGCAGTCGGCGGCTGCCATTTTGAGCAACTTAGTGCCAAAATGAAGTGTTTCTGGACACGGGTGTATTAACAACATATGATCAGACTGAACCCATCTATCGACCACAGAGCAGTGTAACATATTTATTTACATCCTGTATAACATATCCATATCAGATGCTCCAAAATAAAACTGTGATTGTTTCAATTCTCATAATATATTCAATACACATTGGGCATCTTACTCATGTAAATGAGGACCAGACACCTTGCAATTAATTCCACAGCTCACTGATTTATTTATTCTTTTAATTCAGAACCTTCTTTGATGCAATAGAGAAGAGAAATTCTACTGTAAGATTCTTAGAGCTAATACATTTACTGAGTTAATCAAATAACAATATTTTGTCGTGGAACTAAACAAGGTGTTGTGATGGGGGCGATGCAACTTGACCAGTGCAATTCTCTCTCTCTCTCTCAAAATTTCAGTAGTTCCCTTCTCATTTCTCTTTCTTGCTCCATCCAGAAGAGTGGAGAATCACACAATCATGTTATGATCCAAACGTTCTCAAAGTGACAGCTAAGAAGGACTGCTGTGGGGAATTTTGACAGCCTGAGTCCCATTCTTAGGAAGAAGTGTCACGTGGAACCATGTGAGAGAAATGTGTGCAAGAAGTGAAACTAATTCAGCACAATTAGAAAAGACAAGTCCGTCCAGTGTGACTATTTCAGTTGTCTCACTTGATGATTCACTAGCCTTACATGTTTCGATCCATTTGGATCATCTTCAGAGGCACCAAACACTTTTTTTAGAAACCACTATCACAACATTTGTCATATCAATTACACATGTATTGCCAAGTACACAATGTTCCATCTATCGGTCACAGCAGTCTTTCTGGTTATAGAAATATTTATAAAGTTGTTTTAAAGTTTTGAAAAAACTTTGTTCAAAATTAAAATTCATAAACCTTACAGGTTCATGTCAATAACCCCTGCTGTCTCTCTTCTAGGTGACCGATGTTGTGCTGCCTATGTAACTTGAGTAAGGAGATTCTGTAAATATATTATGGGTACTCTATTAATATCAGCGATCCTACTTTATATATATATATATATATTAATGTTTTTGTCCTACCTTAATATAGTCCGTTATGATTTCTTGGCCCGCTGGGCTGTTTATACTGTTTTAGTGTGTGTTGTGCCACATAATTTATACTTCCTGTATCTGTGACGTTGTTGTGGGCATGTTCTGATGTTGTGTTATGAGGTGACTGATAGATGGAACATTGTGTACTTGGCAATACATGTGCAATTGATATGACAACTGTTGTGATAGTAGTTTCTAAAAAAAAAAAATGTTTGGTGCCTCTGAAGATGATCCAAATGGACTGAAACATGTAAGGCTAGTGAATCATCAAGTGAGAAAACTGAAATAGTCACACTGGATGGACTTGTCTTTTCTAATTGTAACTGTTAGTGTGATGGACCAAAAATGAAACAAATCTAATTCAGCACAGGCAGCAACAAGACGCAATGCAGTGGCAGAGGGTGAAGTGACAGCGCCCCAAAGGAAACTGGTATCAAGAACTCAAGTGGCTACTGACAATGAGACACCAGCTGTTCAGAAACACAATAAATGTTACAGTGTGGCTTAATAACCTCTATCATTAAAAATATAAGAACCCGCGTGATTCTCTTCTTTTGAGAAGGAAAACAGATACATCATATTTTTTACCCCTGTCTGTACTATCAGTGCTGTCTGGAAATAACAACACCAAATAAAGTGACAACAATGATATGTAACATACATTGTTGGAGTACATACAGTGGTGTAGAATAGTAGAAGTGCAGATCATCATGGAACCCCATCTCCACAAATTCATCAATCACTTGAATATTCATGTAGGAGACATTTTTTGATACAGCAACTAACTCATCTCCCAGTGTGACTGACTGTGTGGAGAGAGTCAAGTCCTCTTCTGCTGACTGACTCGGAACAATAGTTGTCCGACATACAAAGGATTTAACCTGTTGCAAGTGCAGGCCAAATTTATAGCATTATTTAAAATACACAATGTAACTGGTTTATGCATTTCGTGTAAAAAAATTATTACAACAAACTCTATTGAACCTTCATTAATTAACTGTATATAGAATTTTGTTTTATGAAAAATATATAAGGAATGATTTTCCAAACATTTATCTTCATAAAATTTTCTTGATAACATTTTCTCTTGAGAGAATAGATCGGTTCACCAGAGCTAGCAAAAGACTCTGATGGATGTCTCAATCAAGAAGAGACATACAATAAAATATTGAGGGTAACATCTTTCTGAAATAAAGATGTGTGAACTAAGTGGCCAGTTCCACTCAATGAGGGCAGGCTGAGCACTTCTGACTTCGATGTACAGATGTGATATAGGAGATATCTGTAATCTCTTCTGTATCTTTGTGGCTCTTCCCACCATTACCTCTAAGGCAATGTTATAAATGTACATGATTTTATTCAATTCTTAAACTTTTCTCTACAAAACTTAAGAAATTTGTCTTGTATTTTTTAAGCCAAACGTCTATATTAAACTAAAGTTTCTGCCTCCCATAAAACCCTGAATCAACAGTTCTGATACCTGCACTTCACTGTGGTCCAAAGGACTCAATTCCACACCAACATTTACCAGATAAGAAAGAACATAAAGGGTTCTCATGATGGTGTGTAATGCTTGGCATTCCTGGGTTTTTTAACTTTGTCCACCACCTGGTATTCTAGAAAACACCAAAGAACACAACGTTTTGGAAAATGGATTGTGATTGTGATTTATAATGAAGCCAACAGAGTAGGTGTCTCCCACTCCATCACCTGGGGATTAAAACAGATCCAATTTCTGAAGCTTTGTGTTTGTATTGTATTGTATTGTATTTATTACACATTCCAGCACATCTGTACAAGGCCAAAGCCATTGGTGTTCTTTATGGTGTTTCTTAGATTACTGGATGATGGACAAAGTCCAAAAATCTAGGACTCCCAAGAAAAAATCTATAAGCTAGGAAGATCTCCAGTGTATAGCATTCTGTGTTTTCATGTTTATTGACACTAGCCATACCTCAGTACAGACTTTAACAACCTTCACTGCCTATACTATCACCACATGTTAAAAGATTTTTACATCATTTAGACATTAACTTGGTACACACTGGGTAACATACAAGTGTGGCAACGTATGAGCATAATTCAGCTTTAGGACATACTGTTCTGGGAATATTTGAAGCTACTAGCTAAGGAACTTGACTTCTGTATTGTAAATTGAAACCTTAATGAAATGAAACTTCTTTGTGTGGAATTTATATGTTTATATGCAAAATTAGGTGGAACCTATTGCTCCAGAGATAAGAAGCTGGACTCTAATTAAAAAATTTCTACAGCTAATAAGAGCTCTTCCCATGGAACTTGCACATGGGAATTTTTCTTCCTATATCAAGGAAATGAGGAAGGGAAAGGCTACAGGAGATGATGATGTACCTGGAGATGTGCTCAAGTTACTGGGAGAAGGTGGTTTGAAAACACTGACAAAACTAATGAACACCATATATGAAAGTGGAGAGTGGCCCAAGGACTTTACAGAAGTTACAATGATTGCCTTAAAGAAAAAGACAAAAGCTACAAAATGCAGCGACCATCGCACAATAAGTCTTATTGCACATACAGCAAAGATACTAGCAAAGATACTTAAAAGAAGAATTGAAAGGAAAATAGAGGATGTACTTGGAGAAGATCAGTTTGGATTTAGAAGAGGAAAAGGAACCAGGGATGCAATTGGGATGATGAGAATTATAGCGGAACGAACTTTGGAGATAGATGAAGAACTGTGTGTTTGCTTCATAGACTGGCA